CCTTTTCCAAAGTGTTGTGACCTTTCTGAAAGATTGTCTTCTTTCTGAAAGGTTGTCTTCTTTCCAAAGGGTTGTGACCTTTACCCTTTGTTGGCTATAAATAGAGAGACTTTCTCTCATTTTTTTTGCATCGAATTCTTCCCTTCTTTTGCATACATTTCTTACAAAATAAAATCAATCGATCGATCGTGTCTGTATGTGTGATTTGTTGCTGTCATTTTGAGTTCATTGAAATTATCAAAGTTTGAGGTACCGCTACTTCTTTAATGGTTAATCCGTTTTATCTTGGGAGGAATTAATCTGCAACCTCGGGTACTTGAGGGGATTAAATTTCTTAAGGACACACAGTGGGTTGACTCAAATAGTTCTTTGTGTTTTTCTTTTCATCTTTTATTATTTCTGGTTTGCTAATATGAATACAGGAGATAACAATATATATTCATTTGTTGTCTTGTGTATTTACTGATATGGGGAGGCAATCTTGAGAGGGAAGAGATAAAATGGGGGAGGCAATCTTGAGAGGGAAGAGATAAAATGGGGGAGGCAATCTAGAGTCGGAAGAGATAGACTAGGGGATGCGAGCAAGAGAGGACAAAGAGAGGTGAGTGAGAGAAGAAGAGAGCAAGAGAGAAATTTGTGATGAAACTCTACCAATAATATAAGTTATAACTATGAATTGTAATTATTTTGAATTATAGTTGTGTATAGTAAATGTAACAATTTGGACCTATCGGGGGTGGGGGGATTGTGGGCTTTCTGTATGAGGTGCGAATGGATTGGTGTGTGAAATAGATCCAATTGAACAAATTTTCGATTCATAAGCCCAAAATCCATTGCTGCACAGATCAACAGGGTCCAAAAGTTCACAATTCTACTACTTGAAATTAAAATTAAAATTTATTATTGATCGATACCAAAATCACATTTTTCTCAATTAATTGTTATTTAATAGATTATTTCTGTCTACTAAATACTTTTAAAACGGAATGGAGACCAGAAAATTATTAAATGGAGGAGGCAGAATGGTTATGCTGCCCATTACAAATGTTTTTTTAGTTATATGATCCTATTCAGTTACATTGGAGATCGATAAATAAAAAATAAAATATCTTAATAGAGTCATTTCTTTCACCTCTTATTCTCTTGTTGTCTTGTCCTGATCCATTATTTTACTCCTAATTTTTCTCCAAAAATACAACCATTACTAATTGAGAATTTAATAATTCTTTAAATTATTAGTTTTAGCAATCAAACTAGAAGTAGTTTTTGCTACAAAAGCTTGTGGTAGGTATTAATTATGTTCAAAGAAGTAGGGCTTCTTCACATGAATGGTGCTTAAAATATTTGGTAAATTCTATAATCCATGTACTCTAATTAAACTAATTAATGTATGTTAATAATGATACATAATCAAATGCACGGTATACATTAAAGATGTAAATGTGATGAACGAGCCATTGGCGGCTTGGCGCTATAAAAGTTTAATTTTTAGGGTGTATAATTGTTAATTAATTAACGTAAGACTGTTGTATTATTAGACACAAAAAATAATAATCTTGGAATAAAACTTCATCCCCTGATTCTTGGGTCTAATTAGTTGATCTTATCATAAAAGTAAGCTGGGAATAATGGTGTAATTTTTAAGAATTTAATTGCTTAAGGCTTTAATATATAAATTTGTAGACCCCAAATCAACGATACAGTCGAAATTTATCTAAGAGAGTTTAAAATATGAAGAAGTAATGCATGAAAAAGCTGAAGGGGGTTTAGCATCTATTACATATAAATAATAATTTTAATCATATATAAACAATGTAACCCTTACTAACTCCATCCCGATCTAAGATATAGCAAATACTACGACATAAATTATATTATTGTTTTTTATACTGCAAATAAAAATGTCAACTAAACGCGTAAGAATGAAAAATTATATATGTACGTACTGAAATATTTTGTTGACCTCAAGTTGTAACCAAACGACCGTTGACCATAAACTGCACCTCTTGGCTGCTTCCCTTTGTTGTTATCCTCCTCATCTTATTAAATGATAAATATTTGTTTTTACTTAATATTTATGTTAAACCTATTTGATTTATTATGTTTAGGTAATTCAATTAAATAAAAATAAAAGTTAACTACACATATTATGTATTTAATGATCTGATATAAAAATACTCTAAGTTTTTACATTCTCTTATTTAGTTTCTCACCCACTTTTAAGTTATAGATATGGATAGTTTCATACTAATTGATATAGATTTCTTTTTGGTATATATTGTAAATTTTAATTTTTAATACTCTCATTATCCGCTTTTACTTATTCACTATTATTTTACTTGTCATTTTTAACATATCAAATTTTTTTTTTTTTTTTTTTCATATTTTATCCTTAGTATTAATTACTTATTCCCTAAGTTATATTTCAAGACCTAATATTAAACATCAATAAATAGGATAGTGTGGTAAAATAGTCATATTACTTAGTATTGTTTTTTTAATGGTGTGTCAGATTCGAATATGGCAAGTAAAAGTGAACGGAGGGTGTAGTAAATTATTAATTATTTAATATGTAAGTTGATTGATAAATATTCTATCTGCTCAACAATAGTTGTTCACTATTAATTTGATACACATCTTAAGAAACAATAAATATTGTGGGTGATATTACTATATTACCCTTTGAATACATTGAATTTAATATTTTGAGAAATGTATAAAACACAAAAGGAAAAATTATCTCTTTATTTTCTAAACTGAACAAGTATTTTGAACAACTATTTTTAATATAGTGGACAAGTACTAAACATGTCGTCCTTACTAAAAATGATGGTCCTTAATACTCCCCCCGTCAAACAATAGTTGTCCACTATACTATTTTTGGATGTCTAACAATACTTGTCCACTTTATGAAATCATTGGATAATTTTACACTTAGTTCCTAATTTACCCTTATTACTAATTAATTATATTCATTTCTCTATTACATTTTTCAAGACATTCTATTAATTATATTCAAAGAGTGATATAGTGAAATTACCCTTCTATTTATATTTTCTTAAAAAGTGTGCAAAGTCAATAGTGAACAAGTATTGTTGGACAGGGGGAGTACTTATCACTTCACAAAATCAATGAAAAAATGACACTATTCTTCCTACTTTACCCTTGAGAGTTATTATCCTTGAAAGCATGAATTTGACCAACATAGAAAAATTAAATGATTAATTCATGTTTATTGGTCAAATTAATTAATTAATTAAAATAATTAATTTATGTTCATTTATTGAGAAATTGACCAAAACAAAAACTAGATAATATTTCCTACGTTCTTGGTCTTCGCTTTGTCTGAAGTTTTTCGGGAGGAGCTGCTCTCTCTTCTTTTTTATTATTTTCTCTGTTTTCATTTATATATCATTTTTTATTTAGCATCTCTTAATAAATTAGGGAAGTTTTATCATTATATCCTTAATTTAGTGTTTTTTTGAAGTCAAGTTTTCAATAAATGAACATAAATTAATTTATTTTGATTAATTAAATTGACAAATAAACATAAATTAATCATTTTATTTTTCTATGTTGGTCAAATTCATATTTTCATGAATAATAACTCTCAAGGGTATAATAGGAAGAATATTGTCATTTATGCATTAATTTTGTAAAATGACAAAATTAAAGAACGTCCATTTATAGTAAAGACAACATATAAATAAGAATAGTAGAAGTATTATATATATTGCAATTTTTTTATTTTTTATTTTTCTAAAAACAAGTAATTTCATATCATTTGGGTCAAAATAGTTTTAGCGTACAATATTGAATTTTGAAATTGTCAGCAAAATCATAGTAACAAGTAAGTTGCATTTGCTAATGGTCCGCCCTCCGCACAAGGGCCAAATTTCACTTTCGCTCATAAACATTAGATTTGATTTTCGATTTAATCCGAAAAATATACACCACTAATTTAAATACAATTATTGAACTTCCGAATATATCAGACTTGTTTTAAAAAATTTATATATACTAATTAAGTTCAAATATTATCCAAATGCCTATTAAAGGAGGAGTTGTTTTTTTAGCTAACTACGAGGAACGTGAATGTGTCTGGCACAAAGAGCACCTTCCCCTGCTCATAGAACAAAATATCTATCGATAAGACGCGGAGTTAAAATTTAAAGTTATAAATTTAAAATTATAATATTTTTAAGTTATTGAATTTGAAATTAATAATTTATATATATTTAATGAATTTGTTACTTCAAATTTAAAATTAAAATTAAAATTAAAATTAAAATTAAAATTATTGAATTCGATTGAACTCGAACATACATGCTCTGCCTTGGAATTGATGTGAGACTTTTTAACAATGTTAGTGGTCATGGGTTCTTAATTGATCAAGGTGGTTACAATTTTTAGTTTTAAAAGAATACATGTAGTTGTTGTGCATTTATTTGAAATTGTTGCATTTCAGAATTCATTACTTAAATGGTCACTCAATTATTCCAATTTTCTTAGTACAAACACAACACTTAGAAGATCACTCAACCAGATTTAGAGGGTAAAATATATATTCAGACATCGGAATGATTGAGTAATTTGGTTGAATGATTTTTTGAGTGTTATAAAGCGTAATTATTTTGGGAATTTTTTTGTAAAAAAAAGGAAAATAATTTTAAATAGTTGAGTGATTATTTAAATAATGAACTCCAGCATTTTTGGTTTGTCGTATTCAATATTCCCCAACAATCTCCAAGAATAATGTAAAGGATATCACTTCCCCCTAATCAACTCCCTCTTTCTTGGCATATTCGTTTGGATCAAATACAGATCTGGTGGGGGTTATCTCTATATAGTATATAATAATAATTAATTATCTATTTTTATTTATTTATTGAGGAGCGTTGTTTTTAATTTAATTATTTTGGTAATGAAAATCTGACTAAGCACCACGAAGGCAAGTGCAAAGTGAAGCATATACTACTTGGGGTAAAACACATTTTTATATTTGGAAAATTCCTCTTCATTTGCATATACATTGACCGTTACATTGAAAGTTAAAAATTAAACCAAAAAAAGGGAAGAAAAAAACAGAGAGACTAATTGATGTCTCTTTTAACTCGTTTGCACTCCCTTCTTAACTATTCCTAAAATAAATTCTTCTACCTAACAAAATGTTCATTTAAACGTTAAGGTTTTTTCAGGATGCGCCATCGACGATTGAGGATAACAAGCTCTTTTGAGCTCGTTATACCTCTGAAGATCAAAATTCCGAACCTTCATGAGTTGTTTTTGCTTAGCAACAAACCGGCTCTGGAAAAATCCTTCGAAAGAAGGCTCTTTCGCCGTCCTTAGGAAGAAAGTATAACCAGCCATGCAGTAAAATGATGTAACATAGAAGCAAATTGGTTCCATCACATCCCAGGAGAGTTCCCAAAATGTCAATCTCATGAACGCTGCTGTTTGAATGACAAAGTAGCCTAGCCCACACCATAATTCTCTACGCACCAATGACTCTGCTTTTCTGTCAATTGCTGTTTTTTCCTCTTCCATTTGGTTGAGCTCCTTCATCATTTGTGGGTCATTTTGGTTCGCGGGGATTGGCAATAGACTTTGTAGAGTTTTCACTACCTGTAAACAAAACGTTTGGGTAAAACTAACACTCCACTTGACAATAGTCGTCATCTGACACTGCTTCGAATAAAAATATAGCTCATATATGACACTGCTTCGCTCATATATAGTGGTATACAAATAGTATTTCTTAAAATAAAATAATATATATATATCAGTTTGGAATAGGAAAAAAGGTTTAAAATTGACATTTTCCTAACCTAAGTTGTGACAATAAGTGCTACTACTATCTACCTAGCTATTGTATAGCGCCCCCCTAAATTGTAAAACTCATGAATTATATGAACATGCTAGAATTGACATATGGGACTTCTCTAGAACTAGGCAAACTAATTCTCACAAAATTCATTTGCTAATTTTCCTAAAGAGTTCTCTAACGTCAAGTAATAGAAAAACTAGTGCCCAATTTGAACGAGGAACTATGATAGATAACAACTATTTTGTTTTCCCTTTATTCATAGACTCCACAATAATTGGATGTCATTTTCCCTATATTCGAACTATCATAAAGGTCTTGAAGGTGTTCAGGAAGAAAATTTTGGGTCTTTGAAAATGATCCGAACTGGTCCACTCCTTTATAAAAATCACCATCTCGTTTTAGAGATCTGGGAGTAACTTTGTTTCATTTTCCTGTCTGGAGAAAAAACACGAAAATGCTACTATCAGTTTTCGGTAATGCAATTTTTTTTTAATTAAGTTCTATATTAATGCTGCTAATTACCAACGAATAGCAATTTATCTTAATGTGTATCTGTCAAAAGCATAGAGAAAAGATTAATTGATAAAAGAAGAATGAAAAAAAGTGAAAGAAAACCAACCTGATCAGGCCTGAGGAACACAACGTTTCCCAGAACAAGCACAGTTCCAGAATCATCTAGAATCTTCGCGAATTCCATGCCTAAATCATTGTTCGAACTAATTCCAGAGCAGATCTGAACAAATTCCGGGTACGAAATACAATTCTTTTCAGTTTGCTTTAGCCTCAATTTCACCATCTCCAATTGTGATATTTTTAACACCTTCTTCGCATCAGCCACCGTCAATTTCCCCTCCGTCGTTATCTCCGGCTCCGGTTCCGGCCTCATCTCTAGCGGCGGCAGGAATCCATCGAGTTTGATCCTGCTTCTGTTGACATCCATTTCACGGATTTTCTCGATGAGACTTTCACCGATAGGTAGTGACCGGAGCTCCGGCGAAGTCGCCGGATATGTGTTAATGAGTCGCCGCTGGATGAATCGCCGGAAAATTCCATTATCTCCGGGATCTGGAGCGATTTTGTCGTCAGGATGAGGAGGGACCAGCTTTCTGGCTGACATGGATGATGAAGATATGCGACAAGCAGAAATGGAAAAACCGGTGGTTTTGTATACATTGGAAAGACGCTGAGCTAGAGTTTTTTTGAACGCCATTGATAATAAGAGGTTTCAGAAAGAGAGAAAAAATTGATTTGAATAAATGGGAGATTTTGGTTTAGGATTTGGATTGTTCAACGATGATGAAGAAAGAAGCCATGAGTTGGACTATTTATAGGTCCATTCTATGTGGCGAATTGACAGCCAGCTTCTACATTAAAATTTTGAAAACTGACGTGGTAATTACTCACTCCGACTTGTTTTACTTGTCATGTTTATCTTAATTGTTTTAATAATTTTAAAATAATCTTATCATTAATAATGATTTATTTTTTTAAAAGAAAAAAGTATTAGGACTATTTGTTTGATCGCCCGAATAAAAAGAAGCATTAAAACTAGTACTCTTTCAATTATCTCCTAAAATTAATGTAAATATTCATTCAAGAGAAAATTTTGAATTTTCAGTGGGAAAAGTTGAGTATACCCGCAGAGATATTCGCAGTAGAAAAAGAATATCCCCGCAATACGAGGCAACATCATAAAAGATCACTTCACTTTCTGTTGTTTTTATTTATTTATTTTGTTCTTGTTAGGGAGAGCAAATTTAGGGATTATAATTTAAAGTTAAAAAATATTTATTTTTATCTGTATAATTTAATTTGTTGACTAATTCATGTGATATGACTACTACTTATTAGATATTTCTTGAAGAGTAACTATAATGAGCGTACAAGTGGCGAGTTAGAATTGTACGCAAGACAAGCGTCGGAGTGTTAGAAAATAAGTCACGGGGTGGGGATTATATGTTGTGGTGTAATAATACTTAAGAAATTAATACAATGATTTACACGTGTTGGTTAGGGAGGGAAGCAATATATATAAGAATTGGTCAAGTGTGTATAGGATAAGAGTTATGTGCTGACGTGTTTAGATAGCCAACATAGAAAGAGTGATTTGACTATAAAGCCCAATTTCTAGGAAACGCAAACGTGTCGCCACATATATTGATTAAAATGTACATGTAAAGAAGCCATTTCAAAATCTTGAATAAAATTATTTATTATCATAAGTTAGTGACTAGTAATTTAAATACTTTACTAATAAATTTTAAATCCCTGTCTATGTATTCTTTCTTTTTGTTTTTACACAATGAATAAATAATATTCTAGTAAAATCTTGACGTTGAACTACGTACCCAAAAACTTGAACGTTAGGCCACATAAATCCTAGGTGGACGAATAACGGTGGAATTTGATATTTTCTATTCTTTTTTTAACACAACGAATAGAGAATAGTAAATGCTGAATATGAGATTTACATTGAATCATCAGTGGAATATGGTAGAGTAAAAGATTAATAAAATTACTAGGAAACGTGAACGTTTTGCCACATACTATATCTTTAGGTGGTCAAATTGGTAAAATATTGATGGTGGGTATTGAATTTATTTATTTATTTATTTATGTTTTGTTTTTACACAAATGAATAAAGAATACTTAGTAAATGCTGACTATGAAATTAACATTGAATTATCTGTAAAAGATTAATTCTTGCTACTACAACGTGAACGTTTCGCCACATATATCTAGGTGGACTGTAACACCCCAGAAAATTTTTGAACTAAGACTCGAACCATTCTTCGTAGTGAGTGAGATTTTACCAAGGAGTTTAAAATTTCTTAAGTGTTAAGGTCACTAGATGTAGCACCTTGAGTTTCAAAAAGAATTAAATTGGAAATAGCAAAATTTGAAATTTTGCAAGTTATGCTTAAGTATGAGTTTTGGGTCGACTTCAAACAACCATAACTCCTAGCTCAGGATGAATTAGGTGTGCTACCAGATACCGTAGCGAAGATCTTTGAATTATCTTTCCAACGCCGTGGAGTTTTCTATGTTTCGAGGTCGGATGAGTGAGATATGGCCTTTTGAAGATAGGCTGTCCAGTTAAGGAAGGTTAGCCGAAAATAGAGAAGGGTATTTTGGTCTTTTCCTTAACCAATCAGATTTAATTCAATTTTAGTAATATTTTAAGGGTCTAATCCTATTAGGTTCAGTTTTATAATCCTAAAATTAGCCTAGGGTTTTAGTTGAGAGTTCAAGAAGAGAAAAAAAGAGAGAAGAGGAGAAAAGGGGAGAGGATCAAGCGTTCGTCGAGATTCTTGCGTGTTGTAGCGGATTTTCGCCATGGGTTTGATCCCTAAGAGGTATGTAAGCTTCCATAGTGTTGGGTTCTTTCACCCACACGCCAATCATGATTTATTCAGCGTAATTTCGTTCTTGAAATTTATGGATTTAAGTTCTTGATGAGTTCTTGATAAGTGTTCTTGAAGTTTATTAAGTTTTGAAGTAAGATTCTGCTTAGGTCAACTTTAAACGACCATATCTCTTAGAATATTAAGAGTTATGTGAGCCATAACCTATCCAATTAAAGGTAATTGAATCTACTTTCCAGCCCCACCAATTTCACGTCAATCCAATATCTGAGTAAAAAGTTATGACTATTTTAGTAACCTATACAGTCCTGTTACGAATTAGCCGACGGGAAAAATATTGAAAATAATCGGTTTTTGTCTTTTTACCTCCAAGAAAGCCATCAACGAGTTTCTTGACTAATTAAAAAGCTCAAAACAATCAGATTTTCACTTCCCTCATGAAAATCATAATTTTTGGCTATAGAGATTTTAAGAAACTAACTCGAGAATCTCAAGAAAGGTCTTCATGATTGTTTACCTTCAAGCTAGGGTTTCAAGGCTTCTAATCAAGTTCTTCTTCAAGATTCTTCAAGATTCTTAAAGATTCTTCAAGATTCTTCAAGAATCTTGTTCTTCTAGGTATGTAAGGCTATCATAGTGTTGGACTAGTTCATCCTCACGCCTTACATCTACTTTTAGATCAGTAAAAGAGTAATCTAGGATACTTTCCCTAGATTTGAGTATTCTTGAGATAAGTTGATTTTGAGTTCTTGAATTCATGTTTCTTTTAAAAGTTATATTCCTAATTATCGAATAGCTATATTGTTATTGAGATCCTTCATATCATGAATCATAACTCTTGAATTCATAATTCAAATTCAAGAGAGAGTTAAGTGTAGAGTTCAAGAAAGCCTTTGAGTTCAATTGTGAATCCTTTGAGATCAACTATCGATTTGAACTAAGTTTTGAGGAAGTAAGTCAGAGAATGAGAAGATTCACATACATGAGTTTCATAATGTTATGTAGACTTACGAGTCAAGTCGTTCATGCCCATAAATTTCGCATGAACTCCAGAAGTTGAGTATCTTTGAGAGGAGTAGTATCTTCAAGTTCTAAGTCTTGAGTATTGAGTTCCTAATCCCCTTTGAGATTATATTTCTAAGTATGAGACTATTACATGTTACCCATAAAGTCTTTGAGTTGAATTGTTCATGCCCATAATTCCGCATGAATCCTATAAGTCGAGCAGTCTTGAGAAGAGAAGTATCTTTGAGTCCTTGAGTTGAGTCGTTCATGCTCATAATTCCGCATGAACCCTCTGAGTTGAGCATTCTTGAAATTAGTAGTATCATTGAAGTTCTTGAGTTCCAAGTATTTGAGTTCTATCTATGGTTCTTGAAAACCTTGCATTTAGTAGTTCATGTCCATAATTCGGTATGAACCATATTTTAAGAAGTCTTTTACAAACGTTTTAACTTTGTTTAAAGACTTAAGTTTTGAGTTCAGTAAAGAGTAAAGAGTAAAGTTTGAAGTCCTTTTCTTCAAAAGTATATAGGGACTAAGTATTCCCAAAGAGTTTATAAATGTTTTCACATTTAAATAAGAACGGAAACTGAGATTTCCAAAGGGCTTTCGGCCTAGTTTTCATAAAAGAGTAATAGCTTTCTAAATGAAGCAAGCAGGGAAACTGAGATTTCCAAGATAGCCTTTGAGCTAAGTTTTTGAGCAATTATCTCAAATCAGCAGAAAAAAAGTATGTTTTTAAAACATAAGAGCTAGTATATTTTGGGAGTAGTATTAAGCACCGATATGGGGGAGAGTTCAGACAACTCACAGCCCCCATAAACCATGTAGCCATCATGGGTAGAAAAGGGTCATACTTTTTAGATGAACCTTTTTCACATAGACTAGTGGATCCATTAGTAGTTCAGGTCCTATACCTTTGGCCGGGTATAGGATGCGCTGGCAGCGTGAGGTAGATCGCTGTATCATCACTATAGCTCTTATGTGATGGTTGTCGGTTAGAGAAACTCCCACAGAAGTTATTGTATTTTTATATACATCAGTTTATTGTATTTTTATATACATTTCAGAGTTATGTTGTATCCTTGCATACACACAGATTTGACAGCATGTTTTTAAACAGTTTGTTTCTTTATATTGCACTTGTTTTAAATTGCTTTATATTGAAATGAGTTCAGTCATATTTAGTTGAGCATTCAAAGTTGAGTATCCAGAGTTGAGTATCCAGAGTCGAATATCATATCCTTGAGTTGAGTATCTAATCTCTGAGTTGAGTATCTTATCCTTGAGTACTTCTGAGTTGAGTAAGTTTGAGTAGTTTGGAGTATTCCTTGAGTTGAGTAAGATTGAAAACAGGCAAGTATGTTTCCTTTTTATCAAGTTTCAAGCTTATGTTTATGTTTTAGAATTCCCCTTACATGCTCGTACATTCCACGTACTGAGCCATTTGGCCTGCATCTTTTCATGATGCAGACACAGGTATTCAGGATCATCAACAGGAGCTTCGTTGATACATCCGAGAGTTCGAGTTAGCTATGGTGAGCCTCCTTGGTTTTGGAGGATTTCATTTACTTTTCAGTTATATCAATTGTTAGGATGTCGTGGGTCTTGTCCCGACTTCCATCTTTATCAGTTAGAGGCTTCATAGATAGTCAGTACAGTTGAGAAGTCTGTATCATTTATTTTATTAAATGTTTTAAAGACTAAAGTTGCCTTTTTATGGCGAGTTGTATATATTTTATTATACAGAGTTTTCTTTGGACTTAAAGTTTATATTTAAGTTTTATGAACTTTTATTTCAGTTTTTAAGCTTTGTATGCTTGAATCAGTTTTCCGCTTGTAGTCAGCCAGGATGAGGGTTCGCTTGGGGACCAGCAATGGTCTTCGAGTGCCGGCCACGTCCAGGGTGTAGGCTCGGGTCGTGACATGGA